TTTTTTTTTGATAAATTTTTATATGGAGAATTTGTCGCTTGATTGTTTTAGTTGATTTATCAGGTTTTTGAATTAGTCGCTTTTATTTTAAATTGTTTAAAAATTATTCAAACTTATTTAGGGGCGAAATTTAGCAAAGCAGTTGGTGTTTTAATAACAAATAATTTTTTTCTGATAAATTTTTATATGGAGAATTTGTCGCTTGATTGTTTTAGTTGATTTATCAGGTTTTTGAATTAGTCGCTTCTATTTTGAATTGTTTAAAAATTATTTAAATTTATATAAGGGCGAAACTTAGCAAAGCAGCTACATTGTTAATAACAAATTAATAATTTTGATAAATTTTTATGTGGAGAATTTGTCGCTTGGTTGTCTTAGTTGTTTTATCAGGTTTTGGAATTAGTCGCTTTTATTTTAAATTCTTTAAAAATTATTCAAACTTATTTAGGGGCGAAATTTAGCAAAGCAGTTGGTTTTTTAATAACAAATACTTTTTTTTTGATAAATTTTTATATGGAGAATTTGTCGCTTGATTGTTTTAGTTGATTTATCAGGTTTTTGAATTAGTCGCTTCTATTTTGAATTGTTAAAAAATTATTTAAATTTATTTAACGGCGAAACTTAGCAAAGCAGCTACATTGTTAATAACAAATACTTTTTTTTTGATAAATTTTTATATGGAGAATTTGTCGCTTGTTATCTTTAGTTGATTTATCAGGTTTTGGAATTAGTCGCTTTTATTTTAAATTGTTTAAAAATTATTCAAACTTATTTAGGGGCGAAATTTAGCAAAGCAGTTGGTTTTTTAATAACAAATACTTTTTTTTGATAAATTTTTATATGGAGAATTTGTCGCTTGTTGTCTTTAGTTGATTTATCAGGTTTTTGAATTACTCGCTTCTATTTTGAATTGTTAAAAAATTATTTTTTATTTAAGGGCGAAACTTAGCAAAGCAGCTACATTGTTAATAACAAATACTTTTTTTTTGATAAATTTTTATGTGGAGAATTTGTCGCTTGGTTGTCTTAGTTGATTTATCAGGTTTTTGAATTAGTCGCTTTTATTTTAAATTGTTTAAAAATTATTCAAACTTATTTAGGGGCGAAACTAAGCAAAGCAGCTAGATTGTTAATAACAAATTAATAATTTTGATAAATTTTTATTTGGAGAATTTGTCGCTTGGTTGTCTTAGTTGATTTATCAGGTTTTGGAATTAGTCGCTTTTATTTTAAATTGTTTAAAAATTATTCAAACTTATTTAGGGGCGAAATTTAGCAAAGCAGTTGGTTTTTTAATAACAAATACTTTTTTTTTGATAAATTTTTATATGGAGAATTTGTCGCTTGATTGTTTTAGTTGATTTATCAGGTTTTTGAATTAGTCGCTTTTATTTTAAATTGTTTAAAAATTATTCAAACTTATTTAGGGGCGAAATTTAGCAAAGCAGTTGGTTTTTTAATAACAAATACTTTTTTTTTGATAAATTTTTATATGGAGAATTTGTCGCTTGATTGTTTTAGTTGATTTATCAGGTTTTTGAATTAGTCGCTTCTATTTTGAATTGTTAAAAAATTATTTAAATTTATTTAACGGCGAAACTTAGCAAAGCAGCTACATTGTTAATAACAAATACTTTTTTTTTGATAAATTTTTATATGGAGAATTTGTCGCTTGTTATCTTTAGTTGATTTATCAGGTTTTTGAATTAGTCGCTTTTATTTTGAATTGTTTAAAAATTATTCAAACTTATTTAGGGGCGAAATTTAGCAAAGCAGTTGGTTTTTTAATAACAAATACTTTTTTTTTGATAAATTTTTATATGGAGAATTTGTCGCTTGATTGTTTTAGTTGATTTATCAGGTTTTTGAATTAGTCGCTTTTATTTTAAATTGTTTAAAAATTATTCAAACTTATTTAGGGGCGAAATTTAGCAAAGCAGTTGGTGTTTTAATAACAAATAATTTTTTTCTGATAAATTTTTATATGGAGAATTTGTCGCTTGATTGTTTAGTTGATTTATCAGGTTTTTGAATTAGTCGCTATTATTTTGAACTGTTTAATAAACTTTTTAAACTTTGTTCTCTTTAAAACTTAATGAATTTTAATAATTTAGTCTGTAGTTGCTGACTAACTCTTAAATGTTTTGTAATATTTTTTCGTGGTTTATTTTTGTGTGTGTCAATGTTTTTCTAGTCATTTATAGTTTCTTTGTATGTAATAACTGAAAAAAATTTTTTTTTTTTTGGAAATTTAAAAAAAAATTTTTTTTGGTTTTTTTTTTTTTTTTTTTTAAATTGACTTATGCGATTATGTTACGACAAAAAAACGGAAAATTTCTATGAAGAGCAAATGTTTTTATCTTTGCATCTAACACAGTTACAGTGGGTGCTTCGCTAAGTTTATATAAAGTTAGCAAAGCAGCCAATATAAAAAAAAATATAAGAGCGACAAAAATTTTTTTCCAAAATTAATTAGCGACTAAAAAACGGTAAATTTTGATCTATATGAGACCTTTGATACTTAAAGTTGTTTCGCTAAGTTTATATTCATCTACTCCTCGCACGTTAATCGTACCGATAGTTTCCGAAGGTAGTGTATGTCTGTCACAAAGCTCTGTACGCCAATCACGCAAAAACGGCTTAACCGATTTGCATGAAATTTGGTACTGTATTAGGTTTTAACCCAAGTTAGGTTTATAAACTTACAGATTTAAAAAATTTTAATTAGAACGAAAGTTATGTCACTTTTTCAAAATTCAAAAAATCGAAAATTTTTCAATTTTTTTTAAATTGATGCAAACATTTTTGTAATTGTGTTTTTAATGTCACTGAGTCACATTTTAACCTAATTTTACCTTAATAATAATTATTAGGTAAATGATGTTAACCAGTATTTGGCCTAATGGCTTAATTATATTTGGTTCTTAAAATCATATGACGCGTTTCGCGTTTAATTTTTCAGCTTAAAAAATTTGTGAAATTAATGTTTTTGTAAAACGTTTTCTTATTTAAAAAAATGATTTCATTAAGGTCTTTAAAAAAGATTTTTATTTAGAATAAAAATAATAATTATGACTATTAACGCGCGTAATACGGGAAACTGATAAAGAATTTAAAAAATATAACAAGAAAAAATAGAAACTTATGCTGACAACAATTAATTGTTAACATTTAATTAATCTGTATTAATAAAATCAGAATCAAACTTTTGTCTGTACATTGCTCAGAATCTAAAATTTTTGACGTAGTTTGTCGTCATGAAGAACAAGGAGTCCAAAAATGTCAATTAAAAAATTTGTGTCTGTACATATCTCCGCAATATTTTGTTCCAGTATCACGCAAGAACGGTATGACCAATTGAAGTGAAACTTGACAATCTCTTAGGTATTAGTCTAACTTAAAATTTTAGCCATTCTCGATTAAAAAATATTAATTTGTATGGAAGATATGCTACTTTTTTAAAAATTTGAAAAATCAAAAATTTTCAAAATATTCATTTTTTAATAGATTGTTTCTAAACTTTCTATACTTGGGTATTAAATGTTATTTAGTCACATTTTAGCATAATTTTATAAAAATTACAAGGTAAAACTAAGATATAGCTATAAAACTGTTTTTGGGGTGAAAAAATCGAAACAACTATTATTGTAACCAATTGCTTTCAAACTTAATTCAGGGGTATTTTTAGGATCTCTGATTAATATTTTCACGTCAAAATAATAAATATCAAATTGCAAATTCAAAGTCTCTGGTTCAAAAATTTGAGAATAAAGAAATCGAATAATAAATAATTGTAATAATTGAATTTATGCGTCCCTAATTATTTTGTTTGTACAAATCTAAATTGTACAAACCACACAGCAGCAAAAATTCGACGAATATATTATAAAAGAGCCATAAAAAATGTAGTATATTATCGTTTATAATCATAGTATTCTTTTGAGTACATGTATTTTTGTGATGGAATATTCGATAAGTTTTTGGTGCTGTGTGGGTGAGATGTATGACTGGTTACCTCTACGTGGTGCATCTTGGAAACAATATAATTGAAATGTTTAAATTTAATAAACAAATTTAATTTGGTATAATTGAGTTTAAATCAGAATTTAAGTTTAAGGAAGATATATTAAGTTTTCATTGACATTGGTTAAATAACAATAAAATATTTATATAATTTTTAAGCAATGTCAATGAATTCTGAGCGATTTACAGACGATCCTGATCAAAATACTAAGTAAATACTAATACTTTTTGCACGAAAATACTATCGGTCACGCACCATTAGATGTGGGGTCGACAGCTAGTTTAAAATAAAAATTAAATTTAAAATATTTTAAAAATCAGTGTCTATTCGTAATTATCCCGATAAAGAGGTTTAATTATTGGCGATTTTTAAATGTCTTATTACATTTTTAATTTACATATTTATTATTCATTTTTTTTAAAAATGTTAATTATTTTTAAGTTTCTGAAGAGGACGAATGTGTCGTTGAAACGTAAAGAATAGTTTTTTATTCATTTTATAATCTTGAGTCGGAGTGATCGATATCATCATTTTTATTATTTAATACTGGCGAGTGATAAATTCAAAATAATATTATAATTTAAAATTATTATATACTAAATAAGTTACCATAAGTTTATCACAAAAATCACATTAAGTTTTTAAATATGATTATTCAATTTTTTTTATTACTTATTGTTAAATAATATTTTATTATTCTGTTTATTTAATATTATTAGTTGTTATTCCAAAAAGTTTGCTGTTTTTTTTATAATTTTTATTCAAAGCGAATATAAGAAAAAACATGTTTTTTTTTTTTTTTTTTTTTACATAGAATCCGAAAAAAATTATTCCAAGCAAATAAAATTTATTGAATGAAAATGTTTCGTGGATATTGTAATATCATTATAGTTATTATTTGATATTTATTGTTAATTAGTTCTTTTATATTTTTCTAAGAGAAAAGATAAGAGTAAAATTATGGTTTTTCTTTTAGAGTCAGATCTAACAACGCAAGAAATCGAGTTCGACTTTCTTATTTCTTCAGAGTTTTTGCGAACATCTCTTATCGAACACATTTGTGAACGTGGAATTTCTACCGAGCAGGTAGTAGAAGTTGAATACGTTGAGAGACATCCTCCACCGGAACCTCAAGATTGTCTCATACACGATGATTGGGTTTCCGCCGTTGCCGTGTCTGGCAAATGGTCATTAATTCTGTTTTCCTCAAACACCTAATAATTTTTATTTTATAATATTATACTTAAATAACAATCAGAAAATTATTTTTAAAAAATTTATTTAATTATTGTTAAAGTTATATATAAATTGTGTATGTAATTGAATTACGATAATAATAATTATAATCCATTTTTAGGATTCTGACCGGGTGTTACGATAATACCGTTCACATCTGGACATCAAAAGGAAAGCATAATCTCGTAATTCCTGGCCATACTTCTCCTGTTAAATCCGTTGCATGGATATCTGTGAATGATGAAAATGCATCTTTTGTAAGGTAAAAATTAATTTCAAACTTGTGTTGTCAGTTATATATTTAAAGATATTTAAGTTCATTGTTATTTTATTCATTATTCGAAGATTATTTCAATTATTTAATAAATAATTAAATCTTATTGAGTTAAATCATCTTACCTCAGCATTATTCTTTTATTAAAGAATAAACGAATTTAATTCAGTAATTTTTTGTTTAACAGTAATACTTAATATTGACTATTCACTAGTAGTAATAAAAATAAGAAAATCCTTTTTAACCAAATTTTTATTGTAATCGTAACGCAATAATGACATTTTATGATTGAAAGACCAACACTATTTTTTTGCATTTTAGTGCCTCACAGGACCAAACAGCGATAATTTGGTATTGGAATATATCAAGCAATTCTGTTGATTGTGTTCACATCTGCAAGGGGCATGAAAGAGGCTTAGAGGCTGTGGGCGTCAATGATAATGGATTATTAATGGCAACTGGATCCTGGGATACGATGCTCAAGATTTGGTCAACGAGTATGAAATTAATATCATCATTTATTCTCTTCTTTTGAAGGGCAGACCACTTTTCGCCGCCAACTCATCCCCGTGTACCTGCTCAGCGGCAAATTTTCGTCCCCGTATGTTCCCCCACTACCGGCCGTACTGTACCCCTCCGTTCAGTCAGATGGCAACTTTTTCGACTTTTTTTTACATTAAAAAAAAAAATTTTAATAAAATACATTTTTTTAGTATAAAATGTAGATCTTCTTCAGATCTTCTTCAATTCAATTATTTAACAAATTTTGAACTAAAATGATTCTTCACTAAATTAATTATTTTTAATAATTTTAATAAAATACATCACAAATTCAATTATTTCAAAATTATTTTTCAAATAAAATTTTTATAAAATTTAACAATTGTTTATAATTTTAAAAAAATATCGCAATAAAATTGAATTATTTTCAAAAATTCCAATTCAAAATAAACTAAAATTTAATTATTACCCAAAATTTCAATTAAAAATCAATTAAAATTTAATTGTTATCCAAAATTTCAATTCAAAATCAAAGAAAATTCAATTATTTTCAAAAATTTTAAATTTAAAATCAAATAAAATTCAATTGTTACCCAAAATTTCAATTCAAAATCAACTAAAATTCAATTATTTTTCAAAATTTCGAGTCAAAATTAATTATTATCAAAATTTTCAATCAACGGCCGGTAGTGGGGGAACATACGGGGACGAAAATTTGCCGCTGAGCAGGTACACGGGGATGAGTTGGCGGCGAATCGTGAATCGCCCAATTACCTCTGATCTGTCAACATTATGCCTTTAAAAAAATATCTATCTTGTGCACGCCTTTTTTAAAAACGAAATAACAATTTTTCTTTCTCTACACAGAAATGAAAAATTGATATATAAAACTATAAAATGACATCTTATTAAACTAATTATATGAACAAATAAGTATAATTTTAAGAAAATGAAAATGAAATTATTTTAGCAATTTTTTCAAGGTTACAAAAAAACCATTTTGAGTATATCTGAGGCCCGGACGTTGAGAACCTAGGTGGGAGAAAGAGTTGTGCGATTGGACGGTCACATCTTGGAAAGGGTAAAAATCTGAAATTATACCCCCAACAGAGGACAGAGACTAGGTCTTTTACCCCTTCCTACACTATTTCTCCCACCTAGGTTTCAACGTCTAATTCAATTTTATTTTCATTTTATTAGATTTATAATTATTTGTTCATATAATTAGTTAAATAATGTGTCATTTTGTAGTTTTATATATCAATTTTCCATTTCTGCATAGAGAAATAAAAATTGTTATTTCGTTTTTAAAAAAAAGGCGTGCACAAGATAGTCAGTCATTTCTAACCAGAATTCTGGTTAGTTTAACCAAACAGTTTTCTTAGTGTAGAACCCCGTACTATTTATTCTTCTCCGTGTAGTTGGAATTACTTTATGTCAAAAATATGTAATTGTATTATACTTCAGCTTTATTTTAAAGGTGTACTTTTAATCGACTCGAAACGATTCAAAAGCAAATTCGAAGCTTCGAATTGCGAGTTGACACAACTCGACTCGATTCTAATACGAATATAAACAGTCAATTCGCAATTCAAAAGTTCGAATTACGAGTTACCACAGCTCTATTCGATTTGAATTGGAATCGAACCAGACGAAAATACGAAGTTTTGAATTATGTATTACTCTGGCAACTCGAAATTCGAATTGCGAATTGACCGATTCAATTCGAGTCGAGCTGGGGCAACTCGCAATTCGAAGCTTTGAATTTCGAATCGAATTTTCCTTCGGTTCGATTTATGCACACCTCAAGCTTATGTACAATGTATGGTTTCAACCATAAGCACCACAGATTTACTTGAAATGAAGCTGAGAGAAATTCCTATGATTTGTAAAGGTACAAAACGAAAGATTTTTTTCCTAAATAGAGATTAGATTTCTTATCAGAAACCCCCAAAAAAAACATTGAGTGAAACCAAATAGATTTTTTCAAATCCATCCAGCATATTGGAACCACCATTTTGAATTTTGAAAAACAAACAGCGGATTCGCATTCAGCGACCGCAAAAACCACCAAGTAACAAGTTTCAAGCGATTTTGAAGTTTTTTTCAAAAAGCCATCCGCTATATTGGATGCGCCATTTTGAATTTTGAAAAACTAACAACGGATTCGTATTTAGCGACCCCGAAAACCCCCGAGTAACAAGTTTTAAACGATTTTGATTGATTTCAAACAAAAGACATTGACAAAAAATTCAATATCAGTTTTCATATTTTTATAAATTCGAAGCTTTCTAACTCAAAAACTGTCCATTATTTTGAGTTTTGCCATATGAGAGATTCTTTTTCAATCGCCCCAGCCCAAAAAGTCAATGTTCTGGGATTGGCTTCATACTTTGGTAAATTGTTGTCCTATATGATAGTAATAAATCCCTAAAATATAAATTAATTAAAAAAATATTTGTAGAAAGTAGAGGGGGTTGAAGTTTTGACGTTAAGGGTAACATTGTCATTTTCAAATCCGTTTAACTATGACAAAAGTTAATGGATTTTAATTTATCTATAATGAATTTTATTGCATTTTTCACGTACTTTTCAAAAATGTATACAAAATTTAAAAAAAAAAAATTTTGACCCCTTTTTTTTCAAAATCAACCCTTATTTTTCGATTTTCACCCCTTCGGGTATTTTTTTTTTTTTTTTTTTTATTTTCATTGGAAAGCTGAGGTTTTTTCCGATGAGCTATGTAAATATGAAAATGGGACAACAATAATTTTGTGAGAAACAGAATATTAAAGTAGGCGGTGCCGATAAGGGTGCCGTTAAGGGTAACATTGTCATTTTCAAATCTGTATAACTATGACAAAAGTTAATGGATTTTAATTTATCTATAATGAATTTTATTGCATTTTTCACGTACTTTTCAAAAATGTATACAAAATTTAAAAAAAAAAAATTTTGACCCCTTTTTTTTCAAAATCAACCCTTATTTTTCGATTTTCACCCCTTCGGGAATTTTTTTTTGTTTTTTTTTTATTTTCATTGGAAAGCTGAGGTTTTTTCCCATGAGCTATGTAAATATGAAAATGGGACAACAATAGTTTTGTGAGAAACAGAATATTAAATTAGGCGGTGCCTATCTAAATCCTCAAAGATGATCTCCAGGTACACCCCTTATCGGCACCGCCTACTTTAATATTCTGTTACTCACAAAATTATTGTTGTCCCATTTTCATATTTACATAGCTCATCGGAAAAAACCTCAGCTTTCCAATGAAAATAAAAAAAAAAAAAAAAAAAATACCCGAAGGGGTGAAAATCGAAAAATAAGGGTTGATTTTGACAAAAAAGGGGTTAAAAATTTTTTTTTTTAAATTTCATATACATTTTTGAAAAGTACGTGAAAAATGCAATAAAATTCATTATAGATAAATTAAAATCCATTAACTTTTGTCATAGTTAAACGGATTTGAAAATGACAATGTTACCCTTAACGTCAAAACTTCAACCCCCTCTACTTTCTACAAATATTTTTTTAATTAATTTATATTTTAGGGATTTATTACTATCATATAGGACAACAATTTACCAAAGTATGAAGCCAATCCCAGAACATTGACTTTTTGGGCTGGGGCGATTGAAAAAGAATCTCTCATATACATTTTTTGTTCAGAACTTCTTAAACTACAAAACTGCAAAGTTAAAACGAAATCGACTGAAAGTCAAATTCAATGTAAAAAGTGCGTGGTCCTTTAGGTTTTATGGAATAATGTGCTATTAGAAATGAAGAAAATATTACCATAATTGAGGGTCGCGGTCAAAGAACCGCTTATAATTTTTTAAAATTTAAATTCAGTGGTCCGTAAATTCAAAATAATAAAGATTTTAATCCCATTTTTCTGTCAGGTGTTTTCACATAATCTTTATAAAAATAAATACTTGCAGAAAACTAAAATTCAAAACTTTTTTTTTATTCAGGGGCCAACGATTTAGAGTTTTAAAAAGTTATAACTGGTTTTTTGGTCGGAAACCTCAATTATCACCCCATGTTTCAAGTACTTGGTAAAGAATTCTTTATTTAACAATTACTCTGAAACGAGTAAAGATAATATTGTTGATTTTTAAAAATAAAGTTTCAAGTCTTTATTTTATAGTCCAATTAAAGAGATTGTTGTAAAATTAAAATTTCTAATTGTTATTAAATTTTTTTAAACACTTGCAATGTTACTCAAAAAATAAATTAGGTATGCTCTTTTGATGCGCAGACTCTAAAGATTAAATTTGAAAAAGAAGAAAAATGAGTAACCACTAATATTGCAGAAGTTATTCTAATTTTTTTGATGACGCTCAAGCAAAGTCAGACTTGTTGATTCCACAGAAAAAAACTGAGTTCAAAATGAGTCGGTGAACCGACTCATTTTGAACTGCAACAAAAATGAACCTCGAGAAACTCATTTTGAACTTCAGGCAAAAAGCATCAAAATGAGCTAGATCCGATTCATTTTGAGTTCAAGTTAAAATGACAATTATAGTCAATTAAGAAGCACTTTATCATAAAACTATTAATCAAAATCATTGTTTTCAATGAACAAACAGATTACACTTGAAAAAACTTTGTTTCTTAAATCCGATTTATTGAATTTATAGAAAACAAAATAAATGATTTTTAGGTTAGAAACTTCTGAATTGACAGAAATAAATACCAACCATCCAACACGAAACATGAAATTTAACGGCGCGTTTGTCTAAAAACCAAAGATAATGGCGCCAAATTTAAACTTGAAACTATAACCAAAAATAAAGTGTTATTCATTATAATAATGTAATGATTATGTTATAACATTCTTCAGTTTAAATATTTTTAAATTATGTAATATTTTTAATTTTAAAAATAATCAAATAATTAATTTAAGAATATTATTATGTGACGGATTATAATTACTACTTTATGTATAATTTAATTATTTTACATCCACAGTCCAGTTTTGTAATATATATATATATATATATATATATATATAATTCTAATCAAATAATATAAAAGTATTAATATAATTAATGTAATATATATATAAATTTTTATTTAAACTTATTTTAATAAATTTATCCCATACCATTTTTTTAATTGTAATTCTTGTATATTTTACAATTATTATATATTATCTATTATTATATTTATATTATACTATTTTAAAATATAATACATATAATAGTTTGTAAATGAATATTATAAATATAATATATAATAATAATTTATATTATACATTAACTATAATTATTCAAATTTATTGTTAAATTAAAGTAAAAAATATTTCTACTATTTCAATTTGAATATTGCGCCAGTGTGGCGCTGCATACATAAGTTGCAGTTGTTGCCAACATAATAATCTTAAAATCTTGAATTTTAACAGAAACTAACATAACCTGACATTTGATCCGGGTCCGGTTCATTTTGAGTAACTTGAAGTTAGTTGTTGTTCATTATGATACCGAATTCAGAATGAACTGCAACAAAAATGAACTCAGTTTTTTTCTGTGGCTGTTTTCATTTATTTTAACCGTTAGACATTGTAAACTTCATAATATTCAAATTTTTTTCATGTCTTTCAAACTTTCTATTTTCTAATTTTTTCTCACTAATTTAATAATTTCTAGCTACCGATGAAGATGAAGATGATAATGATGATGATGGTGAATCTGCTGCAAAGAGATCAAAAAAAGACCATGGAAAAACAAGGGTAATTTTTTAAATACAATATTCCAAAGCATCTTTCTTGTAACCATTTCAATTCTTTTAAAAAAATTTTTTTGCCTAGATTCCTAAAAGAACAATGAAGGGACACAAGGAGGCTTTGAGTGGTGTTGTTTGGTCAGATAAAAATGAAATTGTAACCTCCTCCTGGGATCACACTTTAAGAATTTGGGACTCGGAACTCGGAGGAATTAAACAAGAAATTCCAGGAAATAAAAGCTTCTTTGATCTCGATTACTCTCCTCTTTCTCGAACTCTTATAACTGCATCTGCCGATAGACACATTCGTCTTTTTGATCCGAGGTCGAAAGGTAAGAGGAAGAGAATAATTTTTATTACATTTTTTATCATGTTTGACACTGTATTTTAGCATTTAAACTCTATATAAGAAAAATGCCATTTCTTATGGTTGTTACAGTCATCAATATGTGGCACGGTGCTTTTTAAACCGATTTAACTTAAAGGTTCTGGCACCTGAGATTTTCTTCTTGATTTCGAATCTAGATCATAAATGAGACGTTTCACGTCTAATGTCGTAAGTTGAAAAATTGATTTCTCGAAAAAAAGTGAAACTTGAGGAAATTTTTGTCCTACCTGAACCTGATAGTAAAATATCCCCAAAAAAATGTTTGACTTTTTAAACATTTTGGGGAAGATAGAGGGGGGTCAATTTTATCAGTTTTCCTTGACACCGCCTGTTATTTGAATTTTTGCTGACTATACATGCAATTTTGTTAGGTATGTTTTTTAAAGATTTTTTGATGCTCTTTCCAATGGTGAATTTTGTTTTTTAAAATTTTTGAGTTTTGACCTTGATTATCTATAATTAAACATAAATTTGCTATTTTCACCAAAATCAGTCCTTTTTTCTAAAATAAATATTGCAAATGAAAGCTGAGGTTTTTCCAATCTGTATACAAATTTTCAGGATACGGATTTTTTTTTAGATATTAAATGTCAAAGATTTTATGTCGGCGCGCGCGGCGTGCTAGCTGTTTACACTTGCATAAGCTCAACAGAAACAATACAACTATCAAATTACATATAGAATTTATCATTAGAAATAGGTGAGTTCATTAATAAAAATAATTTAAAATCTTTGAGAAAATGTCAGCATATAACATCCTAATGTCTCTTTAATTTACAACGGCGCGGTATCGGTTGTACACAATTTAGTAGTACACAGATCAACTCTTTACAGTTAATTCTATACAGTTCAACTGTATGAAGGGAAATTAAAAAATAAATAAGGTTAAATTCGATTTAATTTGACAAAGATAACTTTCACAATGTTTAACTCCACACGAGTCAATTCGCGAAAATAATAATGCGTTAAACTTTGCACGGTTTAAATGTACACAGACAATTTCGATATGTTAACATTTTTTATCTTCATTTTACAGTTTAATTCTATATAAGCATTCTAAAAAAATAAATGCTGATTACGAATATGACCTTGGTTTTCAAAAATTTTAAATGGTTGATACAATACGATAACTAATATGATATCCTAGTTTAAAAATTTTTTTTTTAAATGTGACATCAGATTTTCCATCAGTGGTACTATAATTTTTGACGTAACATCTTTCATGTTACAATGAACTCACTAAATTGACATGAAAGATATTACTCGAAGAGTATTAGTTTCACTGATGGACATTCTGATGTCAAATTAGAAAAAATAAATTTTTTAAATAGTTTTAAAAAACTCGGATATCATATTACATATCATATTGGATCCATCATTTTGTATTTTTTTTATAAAAAAATTCTCAATTTTTTTTTGTTAACATTTTTTAAAAGTCGAAGAAAAAACAAATTTTTCATTTCGTAACAAAATTTTTCTAAACACAATAGTTTTTGAGCTATTCTTAATTGAAAATAGGTCTACTTTTGACTAAACAAAATTTTGAAAATTCATATCTCAAAAATTTGACAATAAAAAAATACGTATCTTTTATTTTTTTATAAAGAATAAGAAAAAAATATATTTACCCGAATTTTAAACCTTGACTATAAATTTCACGTGGAATCGCCTATATGCTTTCGAAATTATAGAATATGCTTTTGAGTCAATGAAAAAAGTTTTTAAATTTAAAAGCATATGCTATGGAATCTATAGAATATGCTATTGGGTTAATAAAACCATGCTATAAATTCAATCCTCTTATAAGGTTAAAGGAAAACAACGATAAATTTAAAAAAAGTAATCTAAGTTTACAAAATTTTTATATATTATAATTAGTTCTCATATTCACATTTCTATATATTTATTTTTTTTATTTTTCACACTTAGGGTCAGCCGGGGTAAATCCGAACGCTTTTAGTAAGTTTCAACAATAACATAAGTTTTTTCTTGTAAAAGACAATACTTCCGGTATTATGGTGCATGAAGTTGTTACTTTACTTCCATAGAACAATTTTATGGGGTAGCAAAATTTTTTGATAAATTACAATCGCAGGAAACTTAGCGATATAAAAACTCAAAAAAATACGATAATAAACCTATTATGTAATAATGCATCATATATAAATACAAAAATCAAACAGGTTAAAAATTAAAATGCACAACACAATTAAAACTTTCAATAACTTTATCAAATCATAACGGATTTTTGCAAAAGTTGGTACAGAAAGTATTTTGGAGTGATTGAATGTAAATACAAAAATAAAAGTCAAATTTTTTAAATTCAAAATGGTGGATTCAATGAATTTTTTAATTCTCGTCCGCCATAATGGATCCGCCATTTTGAATTTTGAAAAACTGACTTCAAATTGGTAATCAGCGACCCCAAAAACCCTAGAATACCAAATTTTATTAAGATCCTGAAAAACTTTTTTCAACAAGCCATTTGGTCATTTTACCCCGGTTTTCCAATTTTCCGGGGTAAATACGAGCGGTCTGATATTATTAATAAAATTTTGCAGAAGGCAAAAATCAAAAATAGTTTCTGTTCTAGTATTCATAACAAACAATTATAAATAATAAAATGAATTTTTAGCTTCTTTTTCTTCAAAAACGAGACAAAATACTGAAAGAGTGTCATCTTTGATTTTCAATCTTTTTTGCAATACTCGTTATCTTTGTTTATGCTGTTGCTAATTAACAAACGAAAAATGGGATAATACTTAGAATCTCTTGAAGAGGATCTGAGGTAAATATTCTCATGTCTAACTTATTTTTTAAAATTTGAATTAAGCAGAAATAATTAGCGTTCGGATTTACCCCGGTTGACCCTACATACATACTAGTGTTACGAACGAATTTCGTAACTTTAAAAATTTTTTAATTTTAAATAAAAGATACTTAAATTCAATTAATTATTGAAAGATTGAAATCACATAGTGATTTAAATTCTTTTACTATTTATAATAAACAACAAATAGAATTATAAATCACATAAAATACACACATAGAAACAAACATTTAACACTATCACAGTTTTTCAAATTAATTTATCAATAAATTAAGAAACAAGTAACTGTCCTTATTTTAGTATTGCTAAATAAATTTCGAGAATATTAGGAAATAGAAGGTAAAGAACCTCAATATAGAGTAAAAGACTTCATTTTAATAAAAGTTTCCTAAATAAAGTTCAATCACTTCATAAATCAATGTACATCCCGTGTAGAAATTGAAACGTGGTTACAATCAGGCCCTGATCTGGCAAAATAGTGGCCTGAATATGCAATGAAACGCTTTTTTTGATCAAGACCTGAATAGATATTTTCAAAATAAGGGCCAAATCAGGTTGTGATCAGGGCTTTACTTAGGTTAAGTTTATTTTTGACATTTACGTTATGATATATACGAAATGGAGATTAATATAAATACAATAATAAACTAATTTTTATTAATTTATTAATAATATTAATTAATAATAAAATAAGAGAGTAACTCATCAAATTATATTCTTTTTAAAGGTTTGTTATATTATTTAAAATATTATTTTTAATAATTAATTCTTTAAAGTTTAATCATAAGAAGAAAACGTAGCGCATATTTTTCTAATTTAAACTACGTTATTTAAATGAACTTTTTGGTGCATTAATCTCGCGTGAATTTTTTTAAAATTTTTAATTCAATAAAATTGTTTGTAATAATTAGGTATATAGGTATATATTTATAAAAGCATACATTGTACTAGCGAAGAGTACGCTCCATGAGCGCGTTACTTTTACATTGTACCCCGTTTTTCGATATGTTACCGAAGTTTCCAACCAAAATAATAGTTTCTATAGCACTTCTACATATATCTACTACAAGAATATGCAGTTTTTAGAAAATCGATTTTGTTGAAAAAAGATGTAGTACTAACCCCTTAACATGTTAGTCTAAATCCTTCCTTCAATTGTGTTATATACTTTTGATAATAAATTGTTAATCATAAAAGTGATAAAACTGTAAGGAGAGTGTTTTATTAAATCAGACCTTAACATGGTTTAAAAACGGCTTTTTAAAAGTTTCATCAAAAATTATTTATACTTTAATTTGTTATGAATGTATTATTAACATTTGGAATAACTTATGTTCAGAGGGATCAATTGTGAAGGCGACGTTTACTTCTCACACACAATGGGTTCAGTCAGTTCGATGGTCCTCGACAGATGAACATTTATTTCTATCTGGAGCATACGATAATAATGTAAAACTCTGGGATTCAAGAAGGTGAGAAAAAAATAATTTTTATCTTTAAATTATTTTAATTTTATTGAATAAGATTCACATATCGTTACCTTAACCCTTTAAGAACGGGACGGACACATTTTAGAGACAATTTTTTATCATAATTTTCTCGTCAACCAAGGGTTTAAAAAAAACCATGAGAGCTATTCCTTACGTCTAGGATATCGCTCTTTCAAAATCTGTACTCAAAATTAAAACAAAAACCAAAAAGTTACGTTTTTTAAAAAAAATTTTAAAAATTTATCAGATTCCATTACAATTTGTTTTATTATTTTTGTGTATTTTGTTATTTTATTAATGTTATGTGTTATTTAATGATATAGCATATAATAAATTATCATTATATTAAAAATTATTAGGTATAATTATTATAAATTATTATATTATTATAATAAAATTATATGTTTATACAATAATTATTGATTATTGTAGGGGACACCGGGGTTGAAAGTGCCGATTTTGAGAAAACTAAATAAAATGCTATATAAAATCTATAGTCTGTCTATTTTAAAATTTAATGTAGTTTTTAAATCCATTATTATTTTTTGATAATTTTGAACAGTTTTTTTGTAAAAAATGATTTTGTGCAGCGAGGCAACACGGCACGTTGAACTCCGCGCTGGGGAGAGTTGTGCCGCTCAGATTTTTTAGTTGTTTCAATTGAAGCAAATGATTTTGCGCGTAAGAAATGAAATAAATATTCCCAATATATGATTTACTATTATTTATTAATCATTTGTTATAAACTTTTAAAGGTTTTGAGGAACAATCTTAAGATTTCTAGATTTTAGTAAATACAAATAAACATTTTCTGACTTATAATCTATAAATGCATAGTTAGTCAGTCACTTAAAATATAATTTTCGTAATAAGTATTTTTATTATAAACATTCAAAAGATTTTTCCAAAAATCGTAACATTTATAGATTTTTGTAAATAAATAAACATTTCTGATTTAAATTTTACAATTACTAAAATATTTTTTGAAATAATTATTTGTGTCGTTAATTAATTGTAAAAACTCTACTTTCTGATTAATAAATAATTTTTAAGACGTGAATACTTATTCTGAATGCGATTTATTGAAATTACAATTGACACACATATAACTGACCCTTTTTTTACCCTTCACACATTTTAAATGTGCCCAGTTTTTGCAAACTATGCATTGAATCAACTTTTCTCTTGATTTTGGGTTGGAATAATTACTATTCTAACAAACGAGGCAATAGTAGATTATGGTTATGTAGCGATTGACAGCGGCACAACTAGCCCCAAGCGAAAGGCACAATGAACCTCGTTGCGTCGACGCTCACTTTTTATCATATATTAAAAAACTCGATGAATTAAATGTTAAGATCAATACACCATTGAATCTCTCGATAAATTTGGATCATTTTAAAAAAAAATGCGTATCGATATCTTTAAAAATGCAAAAAGTAGACTAAAAAGTATAAACATGAAAACTTGCACGTAAGTGTCGCCAAAGCACCAAATTACTAACAGCTAATTATTCCGTGAAGCAAACAAAATCAAAATAGTTAATAAAGATGCGCATAAGTAAAACAATACTTCTCTCACTTCCACTTTTCAAAAAAAAATTTGGTTTTTGAGATATTCCTATCGGCACAACTTACCCCCGGCACTTTCAGCCCCGGTCTTCCCTAAGTAGGTATCTTTCAAACATCTATTCCTAATAGTTTATCATTAAATCAAAAATAACTAGTAACATACTGAATTCTAAAAATTCTATAATTCGTTTTCAATATTTCAACGATGTTTTTAAGTTATTAAAGAAAGTTAACTAAAATTTTATGGAAAAAGTGACGCCTGAAAGTGACAGACTAGTCTCTTAATGAGTCATGAACTTATTTTTACCGTACAGAATAGTTGCTCTAGTTCTTTTCCTTGCTACCTTAGGAATAAGCGGAGGGGAAAATTATCACACGTAGTTTTCACTAGAGAGAAGATTCTCACTGTGTTTCTGAATTTCCTGCATCGCCACCGTCGTAATCATGGTAGAAGAGGAGTTTATAATAGGTGTCACTGCCTCAGTTCCTGTTCCATCAATTTTAATTAACGGTTTCACATGATGTTCCATAGTAGGTTTGCTGATGAATTAGACAGTTCTCCATGAATGTCAATATTACCTGAACAAAATTTCTACAAAAAATTTATAATTAGCACTAGTTAAATTATGTAGCCAAAAAAATAAATTTGAAAAATGACTGATTATAACTTTTTAAAAATTGACTGTTCACATTTTTCAAAAAAATTAAATCTCCTTCCCCTCCTACAGTTTTTGCTAAAACCTAACAATAGTTCGTGATTAAAGTACTCATGTGTAGGTCTAATCTATGGGCAAGTTACAGCCCGATCCGACCACCTTTTTTTCACTTAGTCCGTTACAGGAATTTTATCCCACATGTATAATATAATAATACCGAGTCAAATAAGGTAGTAAAAATGATCTGTTGATCACCCTACTTATGAAATAGAGCGAAAATATTGTGATTCTTTAATACACCGAGAGAAAAATCTAGCTTTTATAGTATGAAAATGATTCTTACTATTAAAGCATGAATTTTTCCTACAAAAAAAGCATGAATTCATACGTTCTTAGTATGATTGAAGAACATGCTTTCGTAGTATGAATCTAATACTTTGAATGCTTTTTCGGTATTAGAGTCGTGCAACATGGCACGATAATTTGATCACCAACTTTGAATCAAGTTAAAGTGGGCGTGGCTTAATCGCCAGTTGCAAGACTCTAATACCGAAAAAGCATTAGACTCCTGCAAAAGTAGTAGGTTTCGGTTTCATACGATTTGCGCGTGTCGCTTATGCATTTAAAGTATTAAATACCTACTACGAAAGCGTGTTTCTCAAACCTTTTAAGCATGAACACTAATCATACTAATAACGTATGAATTCTGACTAATACTACTAGAATTTCTCTACTATAATAGCATGGAAAAAATTCATGCGTTAAACGTATGCTTTATCATGCTATAAAAGCTAGATTTTTCTCTTCGTGTAGTTAATGATTAATTTAATGATTCTTAATTTAATTTTTTAAATATAAAAATAGTCTAAAAGTCCTTAAAGCTTAATCATATCTATTGGCTTGAATTAAAAATTCATATAACATTAATTTATTTTCAGTCCTAAGGCATCACTGTTCGACCTTTTGGGCCATGAAGACAAAGTTTTCGCGTGCAATTGGAACAATCCGAAGTTAATGGTTTCTGGAGGGGCAGATAATACAGTTAGAATATTCAAGACAAAAAGTTCTAATTGATGATAGAAAAAGAATATTTTGTAATAAATTCAACTTTTATTGTGTATAGTAAATTTTAGCTTGTACTGTACGTACAAAGAAAATAAAACGCTTGTTGACAGAGATTTGTACAATAAATATAATTTTACATGTAGAAGTTTTGTTCTCTGTACAAATTCCTTGATTTCATACTTGACTAAAAATTTTTTTGTTTTGCATGATTTTACACTACCTACCTATTCTTATTTATTCTTAATGCTTACAACCCAAGTAGCACGATATATCAACCAGATGTCACGGTGATATCACCGGGGAATGTCACCGTGACATCAGGAAAATGTCAAAATGTCCGCCTTACGGTGATATCACACGGTGACATAAAGGCGATATCACAGTCATATCACGGTGATATCATGGTGATATCATGTTGATATTTTACAGGGATTTAAAATTTTTTAAAAATTATTATTTTTTTTTTATTATTTTTTAAATTATTAAAAATTTTAAGTCCCTGTAAAATATCAACATGATATCACGGTGATATCACCATGATATTACCATTATATCACCGTGATATGACTGTGATATCACCTTGATGTCACCATGATATCACCTCGATGTCACCGTGTGATATCACCGTAAGGCGGACATTTTGACATTTTCCTGATGTCACGGTGACATTCCCCGGTGATATCACCGTGACATCTGGTTGATATATCGTGCTACTTGGGAATATTAAAGTAATACGAATATTACATTTAATACGAACAGTACAATCAATACATTCTTCTTCTTCTTCTTAAATGACTTGAGGCTTAGCCAACTGTCAGAACAATAAACTTGTTTATTTGTTTTGTTTAAATGGCCTCTTGTATAGACAAATAGCCAGTACTAAAAGTCACTCCCAGTAATAAAAGTTAATGAATATCACTAATAATGTTTAATTAATTGAGATTTTGATATAAAGTTAATTTTCACGAACACTGTTTTAACGATAGTATTTATGGGTAATCCAAGGTATTAAACCAGTCCAGTATTTTAAGTATAGATAAGGTGCAGTTCACTGCGATGTATTACTGTCTACGTAGCAAGGCAGTCAGGTTGTGACTGTACCATTAGCCTCTATAACGTGTGAGGCGATTATTGTCCATTCCAATATACGAATTCAGTAAAGGTTAGATGTATGTGCGGCGTTTAATAGTTACATATTGCTGCTTAAGGGAAAATGATTTGAAGGAAATTCACAATAATATCTCAATAAATAAACTTAGATTGAAGCTTTGAGAAGACTATAAAATTATACCACTATTCTTAAAGAATTTGCCAATTTCAATAACGGAATTTAAAGTTGGCTCAAAAATTAAACTGTCCAGATTAAAATTGTCCGGATCAAAATTCAAAATTTTAGAGGATAATTAAGAGAAAAATGCAGGCCTATAAGGAGATAGTAATGGACAATAACTTAATAAATGACGGAGGCTTTTAAACTCCTCGCCACACTGACAATTCGGAGGAAGAGTCCAATTCATTCTAGAGAAATGCTCTCCCGTACATATGTGACCAGATCTCAATCTTGTAATTAAATAAATATAATTATCTTCTTGGCACATCAATGCCGCCAAACCAAGGTCTTACAGATTTGATATTAACTTTTTCAAAATAGGGATTACGGGATATATTAGAACTAAAATAGGGCCATAATTTATTTGTCCACGATATTAAATCGGATCTCAACAATGAATAAAAGTCTCTCATAGGAGCACCTGCAAAATTGCCAATAGGTAGATTGTAGGACTCTTTAGCCAATTTGTCAGCTTTTTCATTGCCTACAATACCCTTATGTGATGGGACCCACATAAATTGGATAAGACGACCCTCACTAATCAACTCCAGTGTAATTTTAACTATTTTAAGTATAATGGGATGCGGCTTAAGAAGTGAAAACCTATTCCCAATGTCACTCAGTGAAGTTCTCGAGTCAGATACTATGATTATCTTATTTAATTGAGTAGATCTTATGAATTTCAACGCAGACAATATACCGTATAATTCACAAGATTCAGCAGTCATGACTCCACTGACTTTGACTGAGAAATAGAAGGAATTCATAGAAATTCATAGAAGGAACATGATAGCTTGCTCCAGAAAGACTCCTAATTGGGTTATGCGAGCCATCAGTAAAGATGTGCACATAATCCTTAAAAGAGGAGTTCATAAAAAAATCAAAAGTCTCACATGGATTAACACTAGATTTAACTTCCAAACCGGAGTCCACATCAATCGAAATTTCAAATGTAAGCTCACGCCAAGAAAAATAAAAAAAATTAGGTTTTTTTGTTCTACCACATTTATTAAGCATAACCCCAACATCTATATATGCTTCAAGTAAAGAAAACTTTGTTTTTCGTAAAACTTTTTCATCCGGAGAACCCGTTCTTCCAAATAAGACTTCATCCAGTAATTGTAGTTTGGGAAATAGGGGGTTGCGAGACCAAGAAATATTTGTAACTATGTGTCTTCTACAAAGCATGGCTCTTCTGAGATGTAAAGGAGGCTCATCAGATTCAGATAATAAAATTGAAGTATGAGTAGATCGCATGCATCCAAGTACTGATCTTAAGGCAGAAAATTGTATACGGTCTAAAATAGCTAAATTAGATTTAGCAGCTAAAGAAAATAGTTGACATCCCCACTCCAAATGAGCCCTAACAAAACCACGGTAAACATTAAGTAATGTAGTTGGATTGGCACCCCAAGAAACCTTAGATAAGGCCCTGATAACACTAATTGCTCTTGTGGCTTTAGCAGCAATATTTTCAATGTGGGGAAGCCATGATAATCTTCTATCTGGAATCACTCCGAGATATTCCATTGGGCCACCAACATTAATTCTACATTCATCCAACTCGATATATAATTGATTCAAATCTTGATTTGTTCTAGAAAATGCAATTAGTTGTAATTTAGGAATTGAAATTGTCAAACCCAAATCGACCAACTATTGAGAGACTAATTTGACCGCTTCCTCTAGTCTTTTTATTCCTAACGTTGGGTCACTTGTCCTGATGTACAGAATCAAGTCATCAGCAAACATAAGCCATTTAACATCATGAGGAATACAAGAATCAATATTGCCAACCCTACCGAAAGAGTGGTACTGGAATGGTACTGAATTGGACTTGGCTTGAGTTCCACTACAGTACCACTACCTGATAACCCATAAGAAGACATTTTTAAAGTACTTTAACAATAGTTTTAAAGGTATATAAGATCAACAAACCGTCTCTCACGATATACGTGTAAAACAGCAAAAAAAAACATAATAGTTTGTAGAAAATTTCTGTTAAGTTTGAAAATTATATTGCAATCCCTCCTTGAACAATAGACCCCTAGGTACTTTGTTGAAGGATTAAAATTTTAACCCGAGTTTTATTGCTTAAAAAATTTGTAATTTTAATAACTCAACTTTAAAAAATATATATTCAGATTCGTTAATATTTCCAGATTATGAATATCTAAAATTTATCATAAAATAATTACATTTAAAAAAGTTATAATTTATCTCGTATACCTTAAGTTTGATAAAAAAATGGACATCATTTTTGAATTTAGCTGACAAAGGAAATATCATATGCATAATAATGTATGAAAATAATATAAATCCATGAAAAACAAATATAATATTGAAATAAATATAAAGTTTTAGTTTAAACATATTGAAAAAGCTAGTTGCTTTTCACTTTTATGAGGGTATTAACGGTAACTCGACCCTTTTCGCAGGTAAATTTCCCAGTTCCATTTCAGTACCAAAATGCACCAAATTAGTACTGAGTTGGTACTGAGATCTCAGTTCCAATTTCCCAGTACCAATCCAGTACCACCCTTCCGGTAGGGAAGAGCAAGATTAAACAAAAGAGGCGACAAAACACCACCCTGAGGAACTCCAACACCCGCGAGCCTATACTCATCTGTATCAGCAGAAAAGAACAGTCTCCTTGAACTTGTGAGAAAAGATACAAAGTTAATGATTTTAGAAGGAGCACCTAAATCTGTCAGTCGATTATAGACAGATTGAGGAGTGATATTAAAAGTTCCTTTAATATCAATTGCCAGGGCAATTGTATGTTCCTTCCTAGCAAAACCAATATGTATAACAGTGGTCAAGGTAGAGACGCAATCCATCGATGAAAGTCCCCTACGAAAACCAAATTGGAATCTAGGGATAGCATTGACGGATTCAACATAGTGTTCAAATCTTCTATGGACCATCTTCTCAAAAAGTTTACAGATGTTAGATGTCAATGAAATTGGTCTAAAACCCATTTTACCAGGTTTGGGAATAAATGGCATTTTTCCAAGTATCTGGAAACTCAGATTTTGTGAAAAAATCATTAAAAAGCCGAAGTAAAAGTCTCCTACTAGAAGTGGGCAATTTTTGAAGAATTTCATTTGAAATAGAGTCAAGGCCAGGAGAGGAATTTTTCTTACATTGAGAAATAGCAGAATGATATTCTAAATAAGAGAAAGGTTCATTCAATACATTGGGAACTATTGGATCAGGAATTAAGGGTAGATTAATAACAGGAATATTTTCCTGAACCAACTCTTCCTGAAGTTTTTTAAAAACATCGGAGCTAGGGTCATTACAAATTCCTGTCCGAAATGGTTGAAATGCGCTGGAAAATGCCTTGACCTTTCCCCATATTTCTTTAATTCCCATTGAGGGCTTTATATTGTCACAGAACTTAACTAAAGAAGTTTTTTCTTCTGTAAAAGAAACCACTTAACTTCATTATCGACAGAATTAAATTTTAATAAGAGATCACAATTCTGACGTGCTAAAAGATCCCTTCTAGCCAATCTTCTCCTTTCCAGAGCATCATCACATTCAGAGTCCCACCAAAGTGGTTTGAACTTTCTCTTGCCTGGCAAACTTGATGGGGCATAAGCACCACAATCATATAATACATCCTTAACTTGTAAAGTTAATTTATTATAAACATCCCTAACATCTGCACCGTCATCTAGATCATTTAAAAGAGTTGCAGATTTGTTATCAATGCTAACCGAAAATTTAAGCCAGTCTACATTCTTGGTATTAATTTTATTAGTAGTTGATTTAATAAGTTTAGGTGTAATATCGGATTCAGCAATCAC